ATATCACATTTTTCCGCCAAATTTCCTTATACAGGGTTCATACTGCACTTTGCCTCAAAAATTCAAAGATTTTTCAAGGACTCTGGGCTTTGAAATTCAAGGACTTTTCAAGGATATTAGTCTGACAGAATACACATGTACCTTACTTCTGAACTGTGAAATCAATAAAGATAGTTAATATTTGTCAATGGGGTTAATGATAAAAATATACACAATTTGACTCAACTCAAAATTCAAGGACTTTTCGAGAGAAAATGGGTTTTTTATGGTGTTTTCAAAGACTTTTTTTGAAATCAAGGTTTTTCAAGGCAACGAACGGAATTCAAGGGTTTTTCAAGGCTGTGCGAACCTTGTTTTAATTATAATCCCAAGCTGTAAGCGGATTTCCAAGTGTCGTCTGCTAGAATATATTCCAGTGAACGACGTCACGCGTGACTATGGATTACAATGTGGGCCATATTCTTATGAAGTTTCAATGACTTTTAGCAATAAACCACTCTTACATTGTACTTATCTTATATTTTGTCAGTCACTAATATTTTTTAAATTATTGTTCTTTGAAGGAACTGTCATCAGTTATAATAAATCCCTATTAAAGATAAATACTAAGAAAAGTTAATTATACAGTCAAGAAACCTATTTTCGTGCTAACCTACTTTTCGTGCATTTCCAGAAATGATTAACAATTTACAGGTGCAACCTCGCATGACCTCTGCATTTGCTTGTTTTGATAAACATGGGTTATCCAGTAGTTTCAAGCAAGGTAAAATGTATTAATGTATACTTTGACAAATACAAAATGGCGGATTTCAGTTATTACCAAACGTCACCATTTTTTATCGGTTGAATTTTTCTCGACTTATCAAACATTGTACATGAAAATAGGTAAAACTGCCGTTGTCGAGTTGGTTACTCATGAAATATGGGCCAAAGTGGGGAGATTCATACTGAATCCTTATATACACACATAGGCCTATAGGTTATACCACTGTACATCACCCAAATCTTGTTCATTTCCTTCCAATGGGACTGTAGGGACAATCAATTTTAAATGCTTTCCAGAAAGCTGAAATTTACAGGGCATAGTAGGCTATACAGATTGACTACTCACTCATATTCATGAGTGGAAATAACTTAATTTAGACTAATTTCTTACCCTAATAAAGAGTAAGTATTATTATTATTATTATTACCTTCATGTCATACGATAAATCCAAATTCTACACGGGATAGTTTGAATATTTTTCACATAACAAGAACTGTCAACAATTATTTCTATTTTCAACATGAACATGGATAGTTAGTAAACAATCTGATATAGAATTAAGATAAATGAAACCGACTATTTACCTGTGGAGAGAGAAATAAAACAGTAAATTCCTAGAAAAGGTCTATTTTTTTTAAATCAGAAGATACTGAATGAGTCTCCTAAGCAGAAGAGTAATTATCTCCCTTTACTAGTATACAGTCTAACCACAATGCTTCAGATCACAGTTAATTTATCTCTTGTATACGGTTATTTAGCTACCCACCGTTAGTCACTCTTGACCTTCGAAACCGGTGGGTGTAATGGTCTTAACGAATTTTCAGAATTGACCTCATAAAAAACACATAAAAATCGAAACTAGAATTCCGATAAATTTGGTAATAACAAGAGATGAATATTTTTGTTCAACTGCACTAGTTTTAGATAGGAAGAGGCCATCACTAGCCGCTCACAATTATAATTACAAGTACATATCTCTTATTCATGACATGTGATGAAAAGTAGGACGTAAAACTCCATTCACACTTCATTTCATTTCTAATTCATGATAACTGTCAAAGTTTCTGTTCCTTTGAATTTAACTTTTTTTTTAAAAGAATGCATGGTTCATTGCCGTATACAAATATTCCTCAATTTTCCTTTAATTAATTCATACGTTTTAATTTAAAACTGCACGAAGCCGTAGTAAACAGAAGTGAGAGTTTAGCAACTTAGCTAACTAGGAGTGTCTGTGCCAGCCTCCCAAAGTACAAATATGGGTTCAAATAGGGACAAGACTGACTTCGTGGGGATTGAAGGTGACTATGCCACTGGGCGACTGGAGATTCAACCAAGCCGTCTCAGTAAACATATTTATCGATCGAACCTTAAACCTGTCCAAGGCATTGTAGTGTATGATTATTTGTTCTCTGGATCATATAAGGGAACTCTTTGATAGGGGAGTTCTAAAAAGTGTACCAGTACAATGGCTGAATAAATATTAGAATTACAAATACAATAGTTAAAACTGCCAATACTCCTTAGATGGGCTGGACATCAACCTCTACATTGGCGACGAATAGAATTATATGGCTGCTACTTTTCCTGAAATAACAAGTGGTTTACCCCATTTTGACTGTGGAAAAAGACCAAAACTGCAACAGTGCCAAAATTTCAGTCAGTACATCACTTTGAAAATTAATTTAAGATTGAAGGAAACGTTGGAACTGTCTGAAATTTGCTGTGAATATTCAGGACATATATAAGTACCCCTCTGCCAAGTTTCAAATCGATAGCTCAACTGGAAGGAAAAGGGGTCGAAACTGCAACAGTGCCGAAAAGGGGTAAGAGCATTTGACCTGTATATTGCTTCAAAAGGACAGTTGAATGCAGATAGAAAACGTGCTCTTCTTCTTCATACTGCTGGAATGGATGTCCAAGAAATTTATTTCACACTGACTGAAGACCAAAATATAAATGATCCTTTTGACAGAGCCAAAAGAGCCTTATATTAATATTTTTGTCCTGAATCAAATGTACCATTTCAACGTCACATATTTCGAGAAATGAGTCAAACAGAAAATGAATCAGTAGAACAATTTGCAATGAGGTTGCGTCAAAATTTAGAAGGATGTGAATTTGGTGATGTTGAGAGTGAATTACGAGATCAAATCATCCAGAAATGTAGATCAACTGACTTAAGAAGAAAAACTGCTAGAAAAAGGGTCACAGTTAACATTGAATACAACATTAGAAATGGCTAGAGCATTTGAAGAATCTGAGAGACAAGCTAAATCAATTGAAGGATTGAGTCATGATGTAAATAAAATGTCGATTCGACGACCAGAAAAACAAGAAAACGGAAAAGGTAGATTTCAGAGAAAACCAGGAGGTGTTTCGTCACAAGAATGTTATAGATGTGGTTATTCTGGACATTTTCATACTGATCCAAAGTGCCCTGCTGCTGATAAACAATGTAGAAAGTGTAAATTGAAAGGACATTTTCAAAAGATGTGTAAAACTAAGATTGATAGAGGGCGATCAAAAGGTTCATACTCAAAGAAAACAAGAATGGTTGGAAAAGACGACAGAAGACATTGAAGTTATGATGATGAAAAGTACAACGAAGCTTTTAGAATTCAGGCTATTGGAAAACACGATAATAAAGGTAAAGTGAAAGTACTATTAAATGGTGTGCCATTAAGATTCATCATTGATTCTGGATCATCTGTTGATTGTATGGGAAGAGATTCATGGGAATTTCTCAAAACAAAAGAAAAAGAACTTGATATTCGCTGGTATTCTGAGAAAACTGATATAAAATTATATGTATATGGATCAGAGGAACCATTGAAAGTATTGGGTAAATTTTATGACAATGTGAAATTAGATGAGAAGCAGATTAAAGAAGTGGAATGGAATTTATTGTGATAGGTGGAAAAGGAGAACCATTACTTAGTAGAGAAACTGCAATTAAATTAGGTGTGTTGAAGAATGGACAGGTTTATACTACTCAAAGTGAGGCTGATAGAACCAGGAGTTACTATTTAAAGAAATATCCAAGATTATTTAATGGAGTATGAAAACTAATAGACTTTAAACTTAAAATAGCAGTAGACAAGACTGTTACACCTGTTGGCCAACAAGTAAGGAGAGTGCCTTATCAACTAAACTAACCAATAAATTAAAGGAACTTGAAAAATTAGACATTATAGAACGTGTAAATGGACCTAGTTCTTGGGTATCACCAGTCGTAGTTTCACCAAAAAAGAACTCTGACATAAGACTATGTGTAGATATGCGGAGAGCCAATGAATCA